GTCTTCCTAACTCCAGGCCCAGCGCTCTATGCACTATGGCGCCACCTAGCTGCCCATAATTCATAATAATCCCTTTTTATTCTGGAACTTCAGTAGTGCAGTCAAGCAGGCCTAGAGCCAGAACAGTTGAATCATTTTGCTCGCCTGCAAATTGAATTGTTTTCCAGCGCCACTGGACCAATTCACAGCTCCACCCAGAATAGTAGTATTTCTGTAATCCCATGGACCTTCAAACTTGAATCATTTCAATTTTTAAAAATCACCTTTTCCAGCTTGTTGAGTGTGGATTAAAGTCTTCAAGAGTTGTTTTAATATGAGTTTCTCTTATTATCAGTGAGTTGGTGCGTTTTTTCCAGTGTTTGTTGATAGTTTCCATTTCTTTTGAAAACTTAACCAGAGTATATTTATTTTTCCAATCAATCAATAAGTATTTATTAAATAATTAAGTGCTGGAGATACAAAAAAAAGTCACTGACATATCATCTCCAAGATTTTTAATGTTGAAATTCTACTCTCCTTCCACAGTCTACTGTGCTTATCCCCCTGCCCTTATCATCATTTAGGTTTCTTAATCCATCCTTGTTCTGCCTGTCTTGACCTCATGGTTTGCTACCTTAATGCCACTAGCCACTATGTTGCAACCTCTTGCCCCTAGACTTTCTGCCTATTTTTTTCATCATTATAAAACCTTTGAAAATGATCTATACACATGTAACTGTATCGTACAATAGATGATGTTCAGTAGTATCCAACTTTTCATGACTCCATTTGGGGTTTTCTTGGCAAAGATGCTGGAGTGGTTTGCCACATTTTCCACATTATATATAACAATAGATGAAAATATTAAGAAGGCTTAGGAAAAGCAAGCTATTGCAAACTTTTTTCTAGAGCAGATCACATCTTTATAGTCAAACAATTTAACAAAAAATTAACTCATAGGTGCAGACAACATAGGATACTAATGTGTTTTTTGTTGTTTGCTTCTCCCTCCCTCAAAGCATTTGATTCTGTGGTACTATGTTGTCTTTAGTAGTTAAGATAGACCATAGATTTACAAGAACAGAT